AGGGGTGGACACGTATACAGTATTTTCACCACAATGACACAATTGCACTTCCTCACAAAAGCCCCTGAGGATGAAATATTGCACAAGATTTCACACCCTGGATCTCGTTATAAGAAAAGTGATGCTGACAATTCAAAAAACTCAAAAAACAACATTTTTGTTTGTGTTTAACACAAACACCGTTACTCAGCTCTGAGTGTGTGCAGACATCTTTTCATTCTTTGTTGTTTCACAAAACTGTGACACCTGTGATCAGTCCAGCAGCACTGTTTGACTGGATCATTTGAGCAAAGCATGAGAGCGCAGTTAACAAGTCCTCTAATCCTGCTTTAAAGCCACAGGGCAGGCACCTTCAGGCAGGCACCAGTAGCAGAAATAAACTGAGCAAATCTAAATTAAAAATAAATATCAATATAAAGATTGATTACTTAGAATTATGTTATTGTGTTGGCGTTTATTTCACTAAAACTTTGGATGTCTAAAGTGGAAAATATCAGAAGAAGTTTGAAAACCACTGACTGAAACCACACACTGTAAAAGAGATGAACACAGCTGCTGTATCACACACTGGTCTGGCCTGTGCGTCCGAAGCTTCAGTGTTTGCATTTTGCCTTCTGACATGTTCGTTTTTCAATGTTGAGATGGGAGCTTTGAGTGCAAAGACCCAGCTGGGTTTTCAGTACAAGGATCCTTGTGCTCGTTTGCGTTCCTACCTGTTTTTTGTCACCACACAGACCCTGCAGAGAATTTAAGCTACAGTCCACCGTCCGTCCACCTTTGATTATAAAGCACTTTAAAACAACTACAGCTGACACAAAGTGCCGTGCATTGAAACTAAACAACATAATAAGATATAAATAAAACCATAAAAAAGATTCAAGCAGACACAAACGTCTGCGATGATTTGTGTCTCACAGGAAACCAAATTATGTGTCAGATAATTCTATTAAAACGCTCCAGAATGAACCAGCACCATAAACATGGTGGAGAGGTCCAGTTTAGTGACGCCAGTCTGGCTCCTAAAAATTGGTTAGTGACCACCTAACAACCACCGGTCATCAAGCAAGCAGGCAATTTATTTATATAGCACTTTCAGATCAGCCCGCAGCTGAACACAAAGTGCTGTACACTTCAATGATACACTGAACATGTTAAAAAATAAGAAATAAAAAATAAGATGATTATTAAAATGACATTTAAAATAATAAAATTAGCACAAATAGCAAAAACAATAATAAAATAGTATAAAAATGATGATGAGAATTACATTTAAAACAATAAAATCAGGGTCAGACTGTGTCATAAGCCAAGGAGTAAAAATGGGTTTTAAGACGTGTTTTAAGAGTGGACAGTGAAGGGGCCTCTCTAATGTGCTGGGAAAGATTGTTCCACAGATTAG